AAACTCACAACCACAGCCGGATTAAACAATGGGCCCACTGTTTCCTGACCCATGCCCTAGGGGACTCAGAAAAAATTCTGTGATCTTTGTTCATTCTTGCAGTTTTAAATTTTAACTGAATTAGGCAACAATGAATCTGTAGCGTTTAAAATATTTATAATATTTAGAGTTTTAATTTTTATACTGTAATTTAGTTTCATTACGTTGATTAAATATAAATTAATTTATCATTTTATAAACTTTTTTTTTAATTATTCTTGGTAAAAAATTTAATCAATTTAATCACCTAACATGCTTGCACTTTCAGCCGTGAGGGCGTTATAATGTTTTGGTGAATACTGGTTTCTGTTGGTAAAAGAGTACCCCAAGAGTTAGCGATGGGTGGTGTTGACCTTCCTTCTAGTTTATTACTTCAAAATTACCCCCCAGTGGCACAGCGCTATGTCTGCAGACATACAACGCTAGAAACCGGGTTTCGATACCCGTGGTGGGCAGAGCTTTGTGCTTAATTACAAACAAACAAACACTTGAAAATTATGGGCGGTTAGCTTTGTGTAGCTTTGCGCGAAATTCAACACTGATGTTACGTACCGCTTTCAATTTCAAACCATTCTGCCACAAATAATTGTTTTATATAATCGGGGATCGAAACCCGGTTTCTAGCGTTGTAAGTCCGCAGACATACCGCTGTGCCACTGGGGGGGGGCGAGAAGAGCAACGGTAAGTACATCTACAGGAGGATTTAAAACCACTTGAATATCATCTCATCACATGCAAAATTGATGTTACCATTTCCAAAGTGCTGAGTTAACTCTGTGTAAAATATTTGTAAAGAGAACTGAATTACGAGAGCGTTACTTTGCCCCCAGACACGCCGACAAGAGAAAACTGTGCAAAAATAGCTTGCACTCGGGAGATGCAGATTTGTTGTTACATTGGACGAGGCCCGAGAATACTTGCGAAAACAAGCAGATATTTGTGCTGTCGAAAAAGATGTGACAGTGACCATGGTGTAGATAATGTGAAGAAAGTATTTAGTCGGGCTTTATGGTTGTCACAAGTTTCTCTTATAATGTGAAATTTAAACTTTAATTACAATCAGGAGATTATATTCCTGCACTACTGGCAAAACGCCAAGAAGGTACGTACGGCCATGCTATCCTTTTATCAGTCGTGTCTGTGGACTCGCGGTGGATTTCTGAGCATTTGTTTTTTTAAACATGGTCTTAGAAGCCGACGCCCCATGTACAGTAGAAGGTCTGTGGACAGTTTATTAAGAAGTATGGTCTTAACATTGAACTCATCATCCTTCGCAAATGCTTGTTACAGTGAACATTGCGAAAGTGGGCAGTAGTAAATAATCATGGTCAACAGTTTAGGCACTATTGACTGTGGAGGAAGTAGTTCCAAAGGCAGCGCTTGACTTGGAACAACCATCTTTTAAATGGTAAATAACCTCAGTTCTCCCTTCAGCTATTTATGCAAAACATTTTTAGTGTTTTTCTAGGAAACAAGTAAACAGCATATAAGAGCCTTTTGTGTGTGAAATCGTTTTGAATTTTTAATAGTATGTAGTAACTTTGAAAACCCCTTTATCATCATTCCCAAAGAAATAAAATATGATCATTAGTTCATGGTCCTCGGGGAGATAGATGCACGTAGCAGCAAATTTCCATAAAAAGACTGCTAAGAGCATGATCATACTTATCGAATAAAATGAGCAAACGTTCAGCATCAGTAAATGATAATTGTAATGAGACACCGTGCTTTCAAGTAGTGTTGAAATAAAGTGTAACTGTTTGAAGATTTATGGTTTGTACAACTTTACATTTGTTATCGATATTTTCAATTTCACGTTGTGATAAGAAACAAAACGGTATTCCATTCGCTGAGATTCAACCTTCATGGGCGAGGGTCATGTGTGTCACTGTAGTAATATATGTTACATATGAAGTTTCATATACAAGTGACGCTTTTCTTGTCACTTACATTCTTTACGGTTGTCTTTTCCTTGTGGCTGTGACAATCTAATACGTTCGTTGTTGGCTTTTTTAAAACGTTTAGCGGTGATTTTTGGGACTGTGTCCTACTTACTTTGTTTACACACACACATTGTCTTCCATTCTTAACTTTTAATTCTTCTTGTAAGTAGTGAAATAATTCCATCGCAGCTTTTGATGTGTTATTTTGTGTCTTATTAACCATATTTTGTTATTTTGTGTCTTATTAACCATATTTTGTTATTTTGTGTCTTATTAACAATATTTTGTTATTTTGTGTCTCATTAACCACATTTGTTATTTTGTGTCTTATTAAAAACAACATTTTATTATTTTGTGTCTTATTAACCATATTTGTTTATTTTTTAAGCGCAAAGCTACACAACGAGTTATCTGTGCGGGTATCGGAATCTGATTTTTAGTGTATATAGCTCTGAGACCGCTGACGCATGGAGGAGTGGGCTAACCCTATATACTATAAAAATATTTTTATTATCAATAAGAACATTCGGAAATATCTGATAAATGTGTTACTTATTTTGTGTGGCCGTGCATGCTACTTATCAAAACGCTAGCAGTTCTAAATTTGCAGATTCATATAATTTAAGTAGAAAAATATACAATTAAAATTATGATATGATAAATAAAGCAATGAGATGTATCACGAGTTTTATTGAAATCTACATCGTGAAAGTTGTTAGAGGAAAAATAATATTCGTGAATTGATGTTAGCAGTAAATAATTGGATTAAAGACACACATAAACAACGTTTACCATTTTAACTACTTGGTGGTTAGGACACTTAACTCGCAATCTGCGGGTCGCGAATTTGAATCCGGGTACCAACCATGTTCGCCATTTCAGCCGTGTGGATGTTACAGTGTGACTGTTAATCCCACAATTCGTTGTTGAAGAATAGCCCAAGAATCGGTGGTGGGCGATGTTGACTAGTTGACTTCCCTGTAGTTTATCACTTCAAAATTAGGAATGGCTAGCGCAGATAGCAATCGAGTAGCTTTGCGCGAAATTCAACAAACAAATAAACAAATCATTGTAATAACACTGCCGTATGATCTTAAAGCCATAGTAATGGTACCTTATTTTGAAGCTTAACGTCGTGTTTACATTAGTAATTTAGAGCAAGTGTCCCGGCACAAAAAAAAAGACCGATATTTGAGGAATGTTAATCTGCCCGCACTCACAGTACAAGTATTTGGTACGGATCAACGCTGTATCGAAATATCGATTGTGAGTGGCGAAACAGTACACCACTGAGCTGGCTCTTCCTGCTGACCATGTTACATCTTGCAAGATTACACATTGGCGAGCCTTGATGCAACAGTAGAATTTCTTACAGGTTTTTTATGTGTATTTTACAATCATACAATCGCAAGCAAGAATGTGCAACGAGTACATTAGGGATATTTACACTTTAATTACTATCAGGACTCCGCAGAATATACTGATTACATTCCTGCTCTACCGGATAAAACGCCAAGAAGGTACGTATACGGCCATGCTATCCTTTTATCAGTCATGTCTGTGGACTCGCCGTGGATTTCTGAGTATTCGTTTTCTTAAATATGGTCTTAGAAGCGGACGCGCCATGTACAGTGAAAGGTCTGTGGACAGTTTATCAAACTTTTTTTGTCTTTTTATGAGTTTACAATCGCATATAACAAATGCAAGCAAGTCGTACATGGAAGGGGCAACGAGTACGTCAGGGTCGACTATAAGCAGTGCTAAGAAAATTAGAAATTTTGGCCAAACGGGTCTCCAAGCTAAAAAATTGCTGTTATTGTTTATGATATTCCGTCACATTGATGATCAAAATGAAGATATGGTCATACAGAGGTATCACAATATATGTAAGAATATATATATAAAGTATCTGATAAACGAAATCTCGTGAGGTAGTCGGAAAGCGCTCTCCTGTAGCGAAATAAGAAACCTCACGCGTTCAAACTATGATTTATGGGACACAAATGATTCTGCCGGAACACATCTAACAAATGTGCTGAATTAGCTTTCGTTAGCGTGGATAAATTTAATTTGGAACAGTGTGTCATATTTCCCACGACAACCAGAATACTGGATTTGTGTCGGATGAAATGTTTAATGTGAAGAAAAAGTAGCCATTAAAAAATCTTTCTTTTAAAGTTTCTAACGTTACACACTTGTTCTTATCAGTCAGTACTGTAGACCGAAAGAATGACATCAGGATATCGATTTGAAGTAAACTGAGCACGTTGTTGAAGAATCTAATAACAAGTCATTATTATCACCGCGGTTAAACGATCTAATAATTAATTTATACCATGTAAACTTTCCTTAACAGAGCATTTGTTATGACGTGATTTTATGATGTTGAGCCGTTTTATGGTATAGTATAACAAGGCTATGGAAAATGTCCCGTTTTAAAATGTTTTTCACAATTTTTCTTTCCGTGTATGTGAAGCACGAGTAAACTTAGGATAAAACCGCCCTATGGCACCAAACCGACTAACATACCAATACTGGAAGCAGAAACAACTAAAAATTTATCATTTTGTAGTACAAATATATGAATTTTACGGTGAAAAAAAAACGTTGAAAAATATCGAATATAACCAATGATTTATTTTCCTATGAATATCGCACAGAGTACAGATAATAGTAATAAAATCTCAAACATTAAAGACGTTTGTTTGAAGTTAAGCACAAAGCTACACAATGGGCTATCTGTGCTCTGCCCACCACAAAAGCTTTCATCTTATTTGTTACTACGTGTTTCGATACTGTTTACCCGATAGAAGTCGTACCTTATTCTGGTGTTCCACTAAAACAACAACAAAAAATCAACAGAAATTATTTTCTTTTTAAATGTATACGTTAGTTTTAACGTAGATGTTAAAATATATGTATTTTACGCTGTTGTTTGAAGTGCGAACTAACAGTGGAACCACCTCTAACTTTTAACATTGAAGGTCTTTGAGGCGTAGCTGATAATTCAGCAGAACTGTTGGGCTCGTAGCTCTTTTTTGTCTTCTTCCCATATGTCATGCATTGAAGCCTCCCATCCCCACCCACCTACTTTGATTTTGTCCCTCCTAGTTTTTGAGATTTTTCGCTCTATAAGTAGGGGTGGGACATTGGCACAACGATAAGTCTAAAGGCGTATAATGCTAAAAATCGGGTTTCGATACCCGTGGTGAGCACAGCACAGGTAACCTATTGTGTAGCTATATGCTTAACTAGAAACAAACAATACATAAGGGTAGTAGCTTTATGTAAATTTTTCTTTTCTTTTTTTTACAGCGATTTAATTTTGGCACAGAAATGTTAATACGAATTGAATCATTTATTATGTTTGATATAATACATTTATTTCAAAATACCCTAAGCGATCTGTTAATCAAAATAAATAGCTGTACAAAGTAATCTTATTACTGGCTAAATGCGCAGAATGTTGTATATCATCTGTTTGTGTACTTTTGAACAACTTACTGAAGCTGCAGACAATAATTGTGAAACTTCAAGAATAATAACTCTGTTCGTGGAGGTCACTGAATGTTCCCCAGACGCAGCGCCGTTTTCTGTGTGAAAAATAATTGCTCTTAAAAAAAAAACCACATTATCTGATCGCCTTATTACTACCTGTTTTTTTTTCACATATTGATTTAAGAACCCTAAACAACCTTTGTATATAAATGTAGTATTTTTTAATCGTCACTTCATTTTCAAAGATGTACGCCAGTTTTAAAACATTCTAAAGCTATAAGAAAAGCCGTTCTCTTTTAGCTTACTCTTTAGAAAGCTAACCGATTAATTCTTGGCTAATTCTTGACTGTACTAAAATTTTATCCAAATATTTGACAGAAAAAAACAACATGTTTCTCTTAATATCTCTATGGTTCAAACTTCCTAAAAACAACTTTGTGTCACTCTATTTTATAGTTATCAGTATCAAACACGTGCATTTCTGTTTTTGAATATGATAGCTCACAACTTGATTACGTAATTTCAGTAAGATATTTATATCAGTTTGAAATATTGTGTTGTATACGTTCTAACGATTTTTTTTCTTTAAATTCCTGAACTTCTGTATATTTTACGACGAATATCAACGTAGATCAATGTTATAATAAATCTTGAAATGTCTTCAGTTTTTAGAATATCGTTTTCTATTGTGTTGAATTATATTTGATGAACACATACAGTCTATGATGTATGGGCCTGGCATGGAGTAGTTGTTAAGGCACACGACTCTCAATATGAGGGTCGCAGGTTCGAATCCCGTCCCCGATTACGCTCGCCCTTTCAGTCGTGGGGTCGTTATAATGTAAAGATAATTCGTTGGTAAAGAGTAGCCCAAGGTGGATGTTGTTGGCTATTTACATTACTTCTTGTCTGTAACTTCAAAATTAGTGATGGTTAGCGAAGATAGACTTGTAGTAGCTTTGTGCGAACTTCAAAACAGACCGTTACATATACTACTGTGACCACTACACTAACGATGTAGGTAGACCTCTAGTGAGTGATTCGGCAGCTAAAGTAAACATAAAAACATTGTATATACTTTGATATGCCAAACAAATCAAAATCTTGTTTTTTCAGCCTTTATATGTGACATTGGTAAACCGAGTTCGATGACGAGGAACCCACTTTGAGACTAATAATGTTTGGAGACGGCTTGAATGGGTAATGAAGAAAAACTTTAATAT